TTTCTGATTAGTCGTATCTCCATCCCTTCCTTCCCATGACATATTTCCCGTTGTGTTGTCATTGGGGTCAGACAGATGTACACTTTAGACCCTACGTGCATATGTTCACACTATCTTTTTCACCCTCCCAAGAGAAGAGGGAGGAGGAGAGAAGAGGGACAAAAGCACCTGGAGGACGAGCAGGACGATCGGGTAGAAACCGAGGACGATGGGTGGGGTGGCAGGCCCTACACTCCGGTGCGAGCCCGAGTGGGACCGAGTAGGCCAACGATATGACGGCAACAACGCCCCCCTGCTATCGAGCCGGCCGTGGGCCCAGAAGAGCCCCTGTGCTTATGCCCATCGCTCGGACGTCCATTCCCGATGGTTTTTTTTACTTTTTTTTTGTTGTCCAATGAATCGATGTTAAGCGTTCGTGCTTTTTCCGGACATCCGCCGACGTATTTTTTTCAATCCGTTTTCTTTTTTTTTGTTTTTGTTTTTTGTTTGTTCTTTTATCTTATCGAGTTTTCACTTTCTGTCTTTTCTCCGAACCAACGATGATCCAAGATGTCCTCGATGGTCCTCGCCCGAGGAGAGGAATAACATTAAAGACATTGCACTGGGATCCCAGTCTTCTCGCTCTATCCAGAACCCGCGGGCCTGATGATCTGGAGCGCGAAGCGGACCCAGGGGCCAGTCGTGGCCTTTTAGGCAGCTGCACCGATTATCCCGAGGGTGTGGGGGGCGCCGCCGCCGGGGTTTGGGAGAGGCCGGCGAGTCACAACCAGTCCATCCCCCCTTTAAAAGGAACGCATCGTGTCGATGGGTTCCGCCGCGGGCCATTTGAGTAGGGGATCGACTACAGAATTGATTTACCCCCCCCCCCAACACATTTTTCTCGTCGAATGTACGAACAACGCGAAACATGTTCGCCTTTATACATGCACACATATAGGAACAGCATACGGATGTTATGATATATATATATATATATATATATATATGCGTATTGTATATGAAAATAGACTCGGCGGGAAGAAATCAACTTTGCGGTAAATCAGTGTTGCAGGGGGGGGCCGTGGGCGGCTCCTCTTCTACAAGGCTGCTTTGATGTCCGAACCGTTTTTTCCGACGGCCCCCGGGGGCCCAGACACGCCCGCCCAAATGTTGCCCCTGACCTCGTCGGCGCGACACAGGAGTCACACGTCTTTGACCGTCGGGGATATACCCATCGACGACCAGCCAATGGCGCGACACGCTAAGCACGTGACGCAGATAGACGCACTGGTTCTATGTGTCCTCCTCGGAGGCGTGCGTCCGAGGTGGGGGATGTCGAACAAATCAAACTCGAGCGCGATCTTCCGGATCGTCAGAGGTCGGAGCTTCGGGCCTCAACGTCCACCCCCGCACCTCTTTGGGGGTGCGTGCCAGCAAAGAGCTCGAAGTGGATCCAACCGTGGCCACGAGAGGCCTCCCTGAAGAACAGCTTCAAGAGACCTCGATCCTCGATCCGAACTCCTGGGCAACCATCCAAGACCTCCTACATCGTGATCTTATATGATAGCGGTCCTGGACCTCCCGAAAAGACGAAACCAGGACGGGACAACACCCTGTGAAACGTCGGGGATCTCCGAGACCCGACCGTTCTCGACAGCTGTATCGGGCGCCGCGGCCGTTCGAGAGCGCTCTGGAACGCTCTGAGATTCGTCTGGAGCGCTCTGGAAGAATCTATCCCAGTCTTGGGCCCGCCAGACTCGGCCACCTTCTCCGCGGATCGGCTTTTCGTCTGGGGGCACTCTCCGATGGCCAACCCGAAAAGCCGGCACCCTCGAGGTTTTGAGCGGTGAGCACTGAACAATCGGCCGCCCGGGTCCCTGCGGCACGCTGGAGGTCTGGGGGAGCCTCGAAACTCGGCGAGCCTCGGCCGCGAGGAGGTTCCCCGAGCTACAGCTACGGAGCGGTCCCAAAACCATAAAGCCACACCTGAGACATGACGAACCAACAGCACACACCCATACCCACAGAGGGGTCGGAGAGAGCTATGGGTGCGTGTTGTCGGATGGGGGTCCCCGCTCGAACGGGAGCGTTCCCCAGGGTCCGACGACCCGCGCCCATGCCCATAGCCAGTCCTCCTCCCAACGACCCCCCTATGGGTATGGGTGTGTGTGTGTGTTGCTCGTTCGTCAAGACAGAGGTCGTCCCTGTTTCAGCGTCCTGACGGTGCACGAAGCAGCGACCTCAGGCAAAGGGGTGAGCTTTGGCGCGCGGCTTCAGGGGGCCGCGAGAGGGTCACGTCCGAGCGCGCAGGCCGGAGCTGGAGGGACTTCTGTGCGAGGGGAGCCTAAGCGGGGGACTGTCCAAGGGGGGGAGCTGTGGCCTGGGATGGGCGGTACGTTGCCGAGGAAGCAGCGATAGGCCCCCGCTGGAAAGCCCAAACTTCCTGCGCAGGTTGGGGCACCCGTGCCGAGATCGGAGAGGAACGGGCGATTGGTGGTCGATGCCCCCTTCCCATGAGGGA